CCTTCCTGCCAGCCCAGTCCTCCAGCCCTCTCTGCACCCCACCACTGGGTGCCACACCCCAGGGCTTGATGCAGTACAGGGCCTGGCACACAGAGCCCAGGAGTGACAGTTCACACTTCCACAGCTTAGGGATGGAGCTGGCAGGTGCCACTGGTCATTCTGTCCCCSCTCCAGGACTCTGCTGTCTGGACCCCTGGAAGATCATGGCCTCTGCACAGTGGTACCAGGTCCCTACCCAGTGAAGCCACCACAGATCCTACTCATTTCCTTCCCTCTTGCAGATCCCTGGGAAGCTGGAGAATCCCATTCCTTGGAATCTGACTCCTCCCCACTTAGTAACTCACCCCTGCCCCCCGCCCCTGCAAAAATGCATCTGGCTCCTGCCCCTCCTCCCTGTGTTTGGGGAAGGAGGCACTAGAAGGCCTTCAGCCTGGTGGCTGCCTCTGAGAACAAGAGGCAGGAGGAAGCCTGCAAGCCCTGCCCCCTTCCTGGGGCTGCAGTCAGGGCTGCTCTGATCCCTGACCTACATCCCCAGGTCTTTAATTTATTTTTTAAAATTTTTGACAAAGAATCTCACTATGTTGCCCAGGCTGACCTGGAACTTGCAATCCTCCTGTCTCGGCGCCCCCCAAGCAGCCTGGATTCCAGATGTGTGCCACCACGTCTGGCCCCTGCCACTGTCCTTTGACCAGGTCTGAGCAGTCACTGTGATACGGTCCTTAGGCGGGGAACTTTCAAAGCACATTTCTCCCATACAATATCTAAAATGTCAGCCAGACAGATTCCCTGCAGGGACAGGGGCTTCTGGGCCAGTATTCTGAGTATGTAGGTGGCTGCTATGCTCCTTCCCTYGGGATTCCTGAGACACACACAGAGGAGAGAAGGCCACAGGGAGTGGGGTGAGAGGTAGGGCTGACAGTGGAGACAGCCACAGAGCCTAGGCTGGGCAAGGTGGGGGACCCAACATCACCAACCTGCCATTCTGGGGGCTGTCCTGCTTTGCATACCCCCGGAAACCTCTCTGCCCCCAAGACCCACACATCTTCCTGGATCTACACAACTGASATGACAGAGAGCAGTGGAAACACTTCTCCGAGCCCTCGGCACGGGGCCTGGTGTCCAGCTCCCTAGGTGTGCACCGGCTGTTGGGGACAATGCCTTTGAACTACCTGCTCCTGGGGGCCTGGCAGAGGTGGCCATCATGGAGGAAGCTGTGAACCCACAAGGGCACCACACCCAAGGACTGGTATCCAGAACCATCTCTCCCTGGCCCTGGCTCAGAGGGTTCAACTTCCATTACGAGGCAGGGTGGGATGGTGGGGGAGCTCTGGTCAGGGACAAAGCRTCAGATGTCACCACCGTCCATAGCCAGTCTATCCAAAGGGACCGTCTGAGGGCCCAGGTCCCTCTTCCCTGACAAGGTCCCCAACTCTTCCATATTCTGCCAACACCCAAGCACATCTGCTGCTCACCACCTGAGACCCTGGGGAGGGGCAGCACCGCTCACAAATGCCCTGGGARGCCAGGGTGGGCTGCCCCGCAGGATCTGGTGTCTTCCAAAAGGAGGTCTCAGCCTTTCGTGGAGAGATCCATTCTGTCCTTCTGAGAACAAAATGATCCAGCCCTTGAATAGAGTCAGAGATGGGACTACTGGAGAACTGGGAAAACACAAGACAGTGGAGACTTACCAGAAACATCCARTTCTCTGCACAGTCACCAGATACCTATGATCATCTTTCCTGAGGGAGTAGTTTGAAGATCACCCACGTCAGTTACCTGGGCACTGATGGTTAGAAATGCAGAATCCCAAGTCCCATCTGTCCTCTTAGATTGCTCTTGAAGGCGGGGACATCAGAATCTGCATTTTTCAATCACCTCCCTTGGTGACACTAGGGGATAGAAAATTTTGAGCCAATGACTCCGTTCAGATCTGCCAGGCTTTTGGAAAGGGAGTGGGAGCCCCAAACATACCCAGCCCTCTTCCTTGTGGTGTGCATGGGCCAAAGAATGTAAGCTGATCCAGGGGATTTCTGGCAAATAAAATGTCCTCATTAAAATCAAGCAAATGGTTTTATCCTGCCTTCGGGTTAAATCCTAACAATGTGCTGCCTTTGGGTTCCTCTGAGGGTCTCGTCACAGCCAGACAAAGGCACCTCCCTGCACCCAAGCATATACACAGGTAAAACCAGGACACGAGGGTGGCCCCATTCTTTCCATCTTCTCTCAGGAAGAAAGGCACATGAAAAAGGACCAGCTTCACAAACACGAGGAGAGAGCTTTATTGCTCAGGGAGACAGGAGCCTGAGCAGAGTCCCGGGATAATCACAGAGAGAAAGAAACGGTGCAAGGCGTCAGCCTCCTCCCCGCCCGCCTTCTAAGTGAACCAGGGTGAGCAGCCACCGAGAGACATCTGGGAGGGAGCTGGCCACAGGGCACATGACCCAAATGCCAAGGCACCCGTCAAGTGCACTGTGCCCCGGGGGTCCCCAGGGCTCTGAAATCCTCTCCTTCAGGAAGAAACCCGAGAAAAACTTGGAATCAGGGCAGAGTGAGCCCACAAGCAAATTCTGAGGTGCAGGACCAGGGAAGGAGCCTGTGGGGACTGCAGAGTCAGACAGCCTGTCCTTCGCGGGCGTTATGACCAAGCTTCTTAAAATGTCCTCACCCTGTCCTGCTGCTCCCCAAGGGTGGGCCTTGCATGTCAAGCTCTGCCCTGGCTGGAGTCCAGCAAACACAGGCCCTTGGGCTCAGTGCCTGAAATCCTGGTGGTCCTACATGTTATACCTGAGAAAACCATGTGACATCTGATCAACTCAATTTCCCAAATGAGGTAGTAATTCAGTCTGGAATAATGAAGCCGGGCGGGGGGTATAGATGACTATTTATCCAAAGGTAAATCATAGGAGAATTGATGACATTGATCGCTGATGCAGCAGTTTTGTCGGGCTTCCTCGTGGGTTTTAACACCTGTGTCTAAAGGATAATGACCCCCCACACACACACATTTGACGTATCTGGGGTTTTGTTGACATGATGCCACGACAACTGGTTTTTATCAGCTTTTAAGCAGTTTTAGAGATACAACGGCAATTATGAAATGTCTCTTCCAAGACATGTGGTGTTGTGGGTGACAGATCTTGCTTCTTAGCTAAAGAAGAGGAAGAGAGACCTAGCTGCCACCAGAAGTACAGCTCATGCCTGTGCAGAGCAARCAGAGAGGATCTGCCACAGCATCACTCCAAACCAATGACTGATGAATACAGAGTCTGACCGCCCGCTGACCACATCCCCAGGCTCACCCTCTCCTCCCGTGCAGCTTTGGAGTAGTCATGAGAAAAGGGAGATTCTCCCGTCAGGTTCAATTGTGTATATTGTCTTGGCCCCTGCCTGACTGTAACCTCAACAGCACTTTTGGCATTGGGACAATGGTGAGTGGACAGCTGCTTGTCACTAGGAAAGCTCTGAAGGGTGTGTCTGTTGCGATTTGAACTTGAGTGGCCAAATGGGCTCTGAACAGAGTGRTTTCGTTTCATCAACACACCGTCACTGTGGCAGTGGTGTGCTGGTAGATGCTTAACAGCCGGCTCCTGGGGAGAGAGGCCTGACTTGAAGCTGATTTTCATGGTACAGAAACTTCCACCATGGCTGATCGGAAACTACCAACATGACAACCCCACTCACAGAAGGGGAGGGATGTGCCCCAGTGACTCCCCCAGACAGGCGTGACGTGCCTCTGCCAGCACCGGGAAGGCTCATCTGTCTCCATTCTGGTCTCCATGGAAACCTTAGAACCAGACAACACTTGGCCTGGCTGAGCTGCCTTTTCAATGAGAAGCTAAGTGTTAATAAGAGGGTATCTTTCCAGATAGCCCTGCAAACCCTTCTCTGCCTTTAAATACTGGGGCTGCCCAGTAGGGAATGCCAACAGGCTCTCCCGGCAGGTCCCTGGTGGGCGGTGTCCTGCCCCAGTGTTTCCCAGGCTAGGATGTAAGAGAGTGGGACACCTGATTCTGCGGCTGCATCCTTTCCACCCTGAAGGATCACTTTAGGATTGAGCAATAACTGCTCTGTGCATTCACAGACGGATTTAAAATGGAAATAAAGACAGGATGGCCCAAACCTATGCCAACGCATTTTGGTTTGTATGAGATCAAGACAGGGGTTGGTCCTGGATTAGCTAAGCATCACGGTTACACGTTCTGTCAAAGTTTCACTCTCATCAGTAGCACAGGGCACGTTCTGGATGACCTTGGACACCCTTTGCTTTCTGCAGATAGACTTAAAGAAACTAGGCGATTGAGCCCCTAGGATTATGGGCCCCAATGCCTAAAAATAAAGGCTGGCTTCCTGCTCTGGTCAGTCCTCACCTGTCCATTTCAAGGGTGTGCTGGACCACATGCATAAAACAAGGCAAAACATTTCCTGTCAATTCAGGTCACAAATGGGGAGGAGAGAGACCCATCAGCCACCTTCTTCCTGCTTTTCCTTGCCTTCCACATTCATGGCATGTAACTCACAAGAAGGTGACTTCCTGGTCAGACTTCAAAGAACCGAGTACATGTGTCACCTGCCTGTTTAAACCATTTTCATGCTAAGATTGTCTACACACRCAAACATCAGTTCTTTTTATTGGGTGTGGGGGATAAAAGTTGAATCCAATATACCGTTCCTAAGACAATGGGTGGGCAGCCGTCAGTAGCCACCAACGGTCCAACTCTTTTCCCATGGGTGTACAGTCCCAGGGTCCCTGCTAAGGGTCCCAGCTGGATAATATTTGGGTTAAAGCAGCCACCACTACCAAGTAGAAAGGAGTCACCAGGTCTGGGCCACAGGTCACTGCAGCCTCCATTTGGGCAGGCCTGAAATGTCCCATGGAGACCGTCCCTCTTCCTCTGCGAGGAGCCCCACATCCAGTGGTCAGCAAGCAGGTGGACRCATGGCTCTCCACTGCCACCAGCACTCTGCATCCTCGACAGTGACCACACTGTCGTCCACTGGGGGCCTCTCAGGAGGAAAGGCCTGAGCACACCCTGTGGCATCCTTTGGTGATACACAGGACAATCCAGCTTCCACCCTCAGGGGCCAGAGAGCAGCCCCTGGGCCCTACRGCCTGGGAAACACAGCCCTGGGCTGGCCAGGGGGCGGTGGCAGGGTGTCTGCCCAGGAGCCCAGCCGCCTCCCTCTTCTCCAGGCCACCTCCCTCCAAACCCTCCGGCGGGAGAGCGGTCCTCACTCAGACACCGGCAGGATGTTCTGGCTGTGAGAGTCACCTGTGAGCCCCGAGGAGCGGATGGAGCGTCTGTGGAGGACCCTGTTGAGAATCTCCCGGCAGCTTCTGCGGTACTGGTGTCTCAGCAGGCAGTACACGAAGGGGTCCGAGGCAGCCTTGCCGTAGGCCAAGCACTTGGACAGCACCCCCCAGTGGGGGCCAATGGGCGCCGCRGAGAAGATCTCCACCAGCCTGCGGAGAGAGAGACGGGGACGTCACTGTCACTCACAGCATAGCCATGCACGAACGTGGGCAGCCACAGGCAGGCTCCAGTCTGCACCCACCCACGGCTTCCTGGCCACGGGCCCTTGCTCAGAGACCACCTCTCAGGCCGCAAGGACAACACAGCCATGATGGTGGGCAGCCACAGGCTCTTCTTTTATTCTAGATACTGCACCCTCGAACTTGGGGGACGTGACATATCTCTTTATTTTTTTCCTTTATTCTTTTTTAATACTGGGGAGTGAATCCAGGGGTGCTTAACCACTCATCCACATTCCCAGCCCTATTTTTTGCATTTTATTCAAAGACAGGGTCTCGCTGAGTCGCTTAGGACCTCACTAAGTTGCTGAGGCTGGCTTTGAACTCCTGCCTCAGGTTCCTGAGCGCTGGGATTGTAGGTGTGTACCACCGTGAAAGCTTTATTTCTATTTCACAGATAAAGAAACATGTCCCAGGAGGTCAGATAATTTGCCGGTCAACTTTGCATGGCTGGCCAACTGCAAAGGCAGAATTTGAACTCAGCTCTGATCAACTCTAAATCCCAAGCTTCACTATGAAACAGACTGATAGCTCATGGTGCTCTGGCTTTGGCTCCGGCTCCGCGGCTCACCTGGTGTGACCCTGGGAATCTCTGGGAATCTCTCTCCACACCTTGGAACTCAGGTCTTATATGAAAAGCCAGAAGTGTAGGCAAGATGGTCCCGTCATCTTTCCCAGCGGCAGAGTCTGGCACGACTGCCCCGAGCCTGCTCTGCCTTCCTAGCAAGGCCGTGCAGGAAAGGGGTGGGGGTCATTGGTGACACTGCCTGAAGCTCAAAGCAGGACAGAACCTGCTGGCTGAGAAGGTTGGGATTCTGGGGGGCTCTGATAAGACCAAGGTCYGGGTACCCTGAAATGACCCTCATTCACTGGGGGAGGACAAAAGAAGTCACAGCTCTTGTGTCCAAGRGTACAATTCTCAGGGTCCTCCTGGCACGAGTCAATGATGCCAATGCCAGGTTGTGAGGGGTGAGAGCCTCCTGCTGCATAAACAGACACGTTAGTGTTCAGCACCCTCGTATCTGGCCATGGTCCAGCATGAACATGGGATTTAAAAACAAACAAACAAAGACTCGGAACTGGGAGAGAGTTTGGAGATCATAAACCACCCTCTCCCCTGCCCATTGTCATCAAGACCCAGAGAGGGGAGGATGTTGCCCAATATCACACAGCACATCAGTGGCCACGGTAGGTCCAGGCCTGTATTCTACTCTGAGATTCTGGCACCTTCTTCTACCTGAGTATCTGCAGCATGGATCTCAGCAGAGCTGAGCCAGAGCTGAGCTCTGCTGCCGGCTTTAGCTGGACGTCCTGATCCCCAGGGAACTGTGGGGCTCCATTCCTCCCCGGAACTGCCCCTTTCCCGAGCAGATCTCCAGCGAGTCCCTCCAGCCAGTCCATCCGAGGCCCTTGGCTGCCTTTCCATTTCCCTCTCCCTTGCCCCCGCCCCCAGGGCACAGTGGATACGTCTCCTCTCAGGTCCTCGGGAGCCTGATGAGGAAGTGGGACTGTGCGCATTTGGGAAATATGTTCTTTATGAGACCTATTTTTGAGAAGTGATGAATTTAAAGAGACAAAATCCTTGAATTTAGAATCCACAGCTCATGCTCACAGAGAACTAGCTGGGGGCCAGCACACGGCTGCCGAGCCTGGCCGACTCGTGCCCCAGCGTGCCTAGCCTTCTACGGGTAACTTTTCTAACTCTCCCCCAAATTAAAGAGCTGAATATCATCAACCCATCCAGCGAGAGCAAAATCATCATCTGACGATTCTGAAGAGTTCACAGCATAAAATTATTCAGAGCAGTTTTAAATTTCATCATTTGGAAAATGGAGATGATCTATTTATGGCACTTGGAAACCTCTGTCGGCTCCACACGAACACTCCCCAGTTAGGGTGCTCTTTGGGTCAAGCCCTTGATGGACAACCTCTGATCTTAAAATTCTCCTGATTTTGCCTCTGGCCTCTCCCTACAGCGCACAGGGCAAGGACTGCTCTGAAAAGCCAGGTTTCTCCTTCGTCAGGCCCCAGGCAAAGGGAAGCTGGGTGAGCGCAGAGCTGGACGAGGCTCCCTGTGGTCTCCAGCAGGGGGCGCTGGGATGTCCCCCTCCGTGGAGGACCTTGCCCCATCCTGGCTCCATTCCTTATGGGGGCTGAGAAGAGGCGAGGGTGTCCACACTGCCCAACTGTTTCTTCCTGATTCCAGATCTGGGTAGGTGTGGGGCTGACCACAGGGTCCCTCCCGGATGACCTTTTAGAGAGGGAACACTTTAGCCCATCTTCTAACACCAAGTCCCCTCCGCCACTGCTTCCTACACCGCTTCCTACACCCTCCTCGACAAGACAGGATTCCGTGACTCAGATCAGTCCCAGTCTACACTCTACACTCCTCCATGCTACACGAGTGGCGTATTTCAGTCCCCTGCCCACCCCTCCCTCTGGTGGTCAGAGTGGGTTGGTGGCCTCAGCATTTGACAGACGGGGCAACTTGCAGAGCAGCAGCCACCCCCCCCCCCCACAGGTGCAAGCCCCCCGGCTGCCATCTAGCACGGGGCCTGGAGTTATTGGGCTCAGGTGTTAATACGGCAAGACAGCATTTCCTCTTGTCACGACACCTGTGATGAGCTAAATTGTGTCACCCTCCAATTCATAYGTTGAAGCCATACCTCYAGCACCTCAGAACTGTGACCTTTGAAAACAAGGTCATTGCAGATGTAACTAATGAAGAGCAGGTCTGAGGGAGAGGGTGGGCACGGCTGACCCACAGGACTAACATCCTCAGGCAAGCCGAGAATCTGGGCACAGACACACACACAGGAAGGACAGCAGGTGACAACGAAGGCAGAGGTTGGGGAGAGGCATGTCAAGGAATGCCAGAGGCCACCCGCCCACAGCCAGGGGAGAGGCCCAGGGCAGTTGTCCCTCACAGTCCCAGAAGGAAGCGGGCCTGTCCACACCACCACCCTGGGCCTCCAGGACCACATGTAAGTGCCTTCCTGTTGTTTAAGCCCTTCTGTTTGGGGTACTACTCTGGCAGCCCTAACAGACTGAGACCCCGAAGGCACCCACAGGGGTGAGGGATGGTTGTAGYATTTGGATTTCCTGGAGTCCCTGGCCACAACATCAAAATGGCMCCTCGCCCCACCCCATTCCTAGAGCCCTGTGTGTACCAAGGACGACGCTGGGGGTTTGCCAAAGCTCCTTCCCCAGCCTCCAGGAAGCAGGGCCTGTCCCCATAYGCACTGTTCCTACTACCTGCCAGACCTGCCCATTAGGCACCAGGAGGGCTTCCCACGTGGCCCCTGGGTGTAAAGCAGACAGGCATTTTGAGCACACGACAAGCGCATCTCCACCCCTGGTCCCCTGTGAGCAGGCCAGGTGAGGGGACAGCACTGGGATGGGAGAGGACAGGCAGGGGCGGTGCTCAGCTTTTTAGGCATTTCAGGCAACTCCAGTGCCAGCACTTTTGCCCTTTATGGAAGAACTCTGGGCTGCGGTGTGTGTGTGTGTGTGTGTGTGTGTGTGTGTGTGTGTGTGTGTGTGTGTGTGTGTTGGGGATATAAAGTGCCTCCCAGTTCATGCCCCCAGCCCTGTGCACCTGCCTGCACCTCTACACCCCTGCTCTCTATGTGTCCCGGGAGCCAGAGCTCTTCTTTGGCAGTAAGCCCCACGAGGCTGCTGGCTAGCCACTCCTAGCTGGCTGTCAGAGCAGAGGGACTGGACACAGGAGGCCGCCCACCATGGCCCCTCACTCACCGGGTCCTCTCACCTCACGCAGCAAGGAAGGAAGGAAGATGGGGACACATCTTCAAGAACCCTGAGGCATTCTCTGGACCCTGGGGAGACTGATGTCCCCACCTTCTCCATGACAGGAATCCCCAAGGAGAGCAAGTCCTGGGGGGAGGACAGCAGCCCCCGACCAGCACTTCCTCCTGGCCCCCGGGGCTCAGGATCTGCCAACTGACCACAAGCCTCACCCACCCCACCATATCATTCTCCCAAATTTACAGAGACAAAGCCAAAGCGGTGTTGTGTCCAGGCTCTGGGCCAGGACATGAAAGAACCAGGACAGGAACCGATACCGTGGGCACCAGTGACTAGGGCCTGCCCACGCCTGGACTCAGTTTCTGCTTCCAAGAAGCCAAGCACCTTTGCATTCAAATACTGATTTTAAAGCAGTAAATTAGAGCCCTCTCTTCCTACAGTCTGTGCTCATGATCTGTCTGTCCCATTTCTCTCTCTCTCTCTCTCTCTCTCTCTCTCTCTCTCTCTCTCTCTCTCTCACACACACACACACACACACACACACACACACTGTGCATTTCACAACACAGGCCACAGAACACTCCCCGGCAAGCCAGCTCATTGTCTTCCCAAGACTTTTGGAGAACTTAGCCTTCATGTTTGCAGACCTGAAAGTCATAAGCTGATGCTTGAAATTTTCATGAGGCATGAGAATGGAAAAGCGGTTTTATTGATAGAATATTAACACTCAGGAGCCACCTGCACATTGAACCTCTCTCCCAGCCACATGATCCCATTACTTTGAAAAGCCACAATAATGGAGCTGTCAGATCTGCAAATGCCTCGAAGCCTGACTGCAATGATTTAAGACGGCCACAGTTATTTGTAAGCATAGACCACTGCAGAGATGACGGCCTGACAACTGCTTCTAGATCCGTGAACTTCRGTTCAGAAAATACTTGCGAGTGCTTCTCGAGGAGGCTGCTGTGGTCCTGCTCGGTCGCTCCAGGGAGAGTCCTATTGACCCCGGATCTGAGGACACGGGAGCCAGTGTGACTGTGCAGCAGAGGTGTCAGACTCCTATTAAGACCTTTGCGAATGTCCCCCGCTGTCATCGCACACCCCCTAGCACAGCTACAGGTGGCTCTCCAGCTGGTGCCCTGGGCTTTCTGAGACCATCTTTATGAGAGCCACTACTTGGTCAGCACGTACCAACCAGGTACGTCTGTATGAGGGGCATGTAACTAGGTCAAGAGGGCACCTGTCCAGCTCTGGCACAGCCTCAGGCACCGAGTGGGACTTGCAGGGTTCGGCAGGGAAGCCCAGTCCTGGGCTGGCTTAAGAGACAAGAGCTTGCTCTTAGCTTTTCCTTCTGAATTCCCCAACATCCGTCTGTTGCTGCCTCAGTTGGATTTGATTTTCATCTCTGTGGACAGGAAGGCGGCAGAGAGCAGCACTGGCGCCTGTACCRGAGCCGTGCCCTCAGTGCCACTGGCCAAGTGAGTCCCTGGGGGTTCCCGTGTGAGCAGTGGGTGGTGGCGCTGGGGCCAGCATGGCTTCACCAGAGCCATATTTTGTATTCATGAGGACTCCTGTGCACGGCTTTTCTCCTAGTAGATTGCTGCTTATCCCCATGAAGGATGAACAGTTATGTGCATGTTTTTTAAAACTCAAAATACATCAAACCCATTTGGCAACAGAAAACTGAAAATCCATCCATCCATCCACATTGACTTGTGAACCTACCATCGATTTTACTAAAAAAGTATTGCTGGGCACCATTGAAGGAATCAAGCCACAAACAAAAATGGGAAAAGCTGGAAAATGAGATTAACCCAGAGAAAAATCCGATTATTTGAAGCTGGAGCTATGACCTGTTCTCCAAGCGTTCAAGTTCACCTCGTGAGCCCACACCTCCCTTCCCCTGATAGAAGCCCACGCCTTACATCAGAGGGAGGGAGGACCATGACCAGGGATGTCATCCACACAGGCCTGAGCCACCCACACCAGTGCTCTGGGACCTTGTACCCTCATGACCCACACTCCCTCTGGAGGCCCAGCAAGGCCAGGGCACTGGCCCCGAGGTCATGCAGTGGAGGGGCGGAGYTGGGGTTGGCTTGGGAGGCACACACCACAGCCACGCTGCTGACCACACACTCCACCTCCCGGGAAGGCAAGGGGACCTGTTCTCCTCTGTCACTGTGCAGGGGCTTGTGTCCTGTGAGAACTCTGTTCTGTGAAAGCTTTGGCTCCATGGCTGGATTAGTGGGTCTCCATCCATGGTTCTCAGCCAGGGAAAACTCTGGTCCCCAACAGATCTTGGGCCATGTCTGAAGGCATTTTCAGTTATTAAAACTGGGGGGCTGGAGAGGGGAGCCACCCTCCTGACATCCAGTGTGTGGAGCCCAGGAAGCTGTTAAACATCAAAGAAGGTCAGTGACGCTGAGTTCTACTAGAGAGTTCCAGAAGGAAGAACTGGTGAGTCTGCTCTGCACAGATCAACCTGTCCAGAGACCCGAAGGCAGTTCTAGGTCCTGTGTTCATGGTAGGATGAGGCCAGCTGGGTCTCCCAGAAGGAAGCAGCACACCAGGGAAGAGAGAGCGGGGGGCACCGGAGCCTGGTCTGAGGAAGAAAAGAGGACTGACTGGGTGCAGGGAGGCGGCTCCCTGCCCATCTGCAAGGTCTGGGAGCAAAGCGCCTTCTCCTGGGCTGCAGAGGGCAGAACTGGGGTCAGCGGCTGACACTAGAGCAAACCAGGCTTCAGCGTGAGTAAGGACCACAGGGAGGATGCAGAGAACTGTCCACAGTGGGGTCCTCTCCCAGGGTGTCAGAGTGCCAGGTGACCGTGCTCTTCCAGGACCCTGCAGCTGAGGGGTCTGGGGCTCACTGGGATGCTGGGCTGTGCTGTCTCCATGTCTTTCTGTCTGTCACACACACACAACTCTGTACAGACCCCACTTTCTAGGCTTGACAGAAGCTCCTTGTCCACCTCCTCAGAGAACACGGAAGTTCTTGGCTACCATCCACTTCCCAGACTGTGGAGCCACTGGCCTTCAGTCCACAGAACAGACTGGGTGATAAGTCATCTTTTTCTTTTTTCTGGCTGAGGCTGATACGGGGCAATGTCATGGCCCAGGCGGGCTGGCTTGAGGAAGGTGAGCCCGAGAACAGCGGCCTGCAGTTGGCCAGCTCGGGCTGCAGCTCTGGGGAGCACAAGACCATCTGAGAACATGAGAAACGTCCCAGCTCCAGCAGAGGTGGCCCACCTGGGTGCAGGACCTGCTCCCCAAGCCTGCAGTGTCTTGGCTGGGGACACCCGGGGCTGCACTAACCAGCATTCAGTGGGCAGCAGGAGCCCAGGCCTAGAACAGGCCTCTGTTGCTTTTCTTCCTGCTTCCGTGGGTTAGGCCTCCTGGGGTGGTGGGCCTAGGCAAAGGATTGGAACGCTGTGATTTGGAATGCAGTGGAGTTGGGGGTGAGGGGTCTCTCACGCCTTTTTGGTTCTGAGTCTAACCTGAAATAATTCAAGTTGGACTCGGAGAACAGTACAGAGGGTCCTCAAGAAAGGAGATCTACCACATGATCTAGCTGTCCCACTTCTGGGTGTACATCCAAGGGAAATGAAACCAGCATCCCCAGGAGACACCTACACACCCRTGTTTATTGCGGTACTGTTCACCGTAGCTGAGATGGGAAATCAACCCCGATGCTGGTCAGCACATGAAGGGTCAAGAAAATGTGGAATTTTCAGTCATAAAAAGAATGAAATTTGGCCAGGCACAGTGACACACACCTGTAATCCCAGTGGCTTGGGAGACAGAGGCAGGAGGATTGCAAGTTCAAAGCCAGCCTCAGCAACTTAGCAAGGCCCTAAGCCATTGAATAAGACTCTGTATTAAAATTAAAAAAAAAAAAAAAAAGGCTGGGGATGCTGCTCAGTGGCTGAATGCCCCTGGTTTCAACCCTCAGTACCCAAAAGAAAAAAGAAATTTGCAACAAAATAGATAGAACTGGACAACATTGTGTTGAGTGAGATGAGTCAGACACAGAAAGACAAATCCACACGTTCTCCTATGGACGGATGTTRAGTCCATCTGGATGTGAAATAGAAATTACTAAAGCTGGAAGGGGGCAGGGACATCACAGGCTGGACTGTAGGTCCCCAAACAGTGCAGACAGCAGTCATACGCTCCAGCACAGTGGGGTGACTGCAGTTCCCAACAACCTATTACATATTTCATGAACAACTACAAGAGACAGCTCAAAGCCTCCAGACTTGAAGTAATGCTGAGGAGACGGCACTGCTAACGACCCTGATTTGATCAGTGCACACTGAAGACACATTTTGAAACATCACATTGTCCCTCATAAACACACTCAATTCCTACTTTAGTAATAAAAAAATTCAAAAAAATGTTTAAGGAGATGGAAATGTTAGCACCCCAATTTGATCATTTCACATTGTACACATGCATTCAGTTATCACTGTACCCTATAACTGGGCACAATGAAAACAATAATTAATAATCATAAAAAGAATCCARGGCTGAAGAGGAAAAGCACACACAGACTCAGGTGAGTGCCCTGTGACCCCACTGCATCCTGGAGAAGAACTGGGGCCAGGAGAGGGTGCTCTTGCTAAGGGTCCYGGCCTGCTCTGCTCTCCTAAGCCCCAACCTCTCACACCAGGGCTCAGCTCACCTGGTGATCACGTAGGGGCCGAAGCACACGAGGAAGGTCCCTATGAAGGTGCTGATCTTCTTGGTGGCCCGCTGCCTCCTCCGCTTCTGTTCCTCCAGACAGCGCTCCCGCACACTGTGTGGAAGAGAGGGAAGGTGACTCACAGGCAGCCTGCCAGCTCACACTGAGGTACTTCTGATAGACCCACACAGTGACTTCCAGAGTAGGCACTGAGCTACGGAGCCCAAGAGACCTGGGGTCGAGACTTGGCTGCAGCTGTGTGACCTGACCGTGAGCAGGCTGTGGGACACTGCTAAGCCTGAGGCCATCGTCTGTAATATAACAACTCCCAGTGCCTGTTGGATGTGTGTGCTCTCTTGTACGCACCATAAGGCCAGGTCAGCACACAGATGCGTGAGATGCATTCAGCCCATACAGCACGTGAAGCAGGAGCAATTGTGCTTAAGTGAGTCCCAATAAAATCGAYTCTTCCTGCTACACTTGCATCATTCACTCACACCTACTATGCACCAGCCCACGGAACCGCTCTTACCGAGCAGAGTTTCTAGTTCTCAACTTCACCCCGATCAGTGGATCAGGCCCGCGGGGTGCTTTTCATCCGCCCTGTTTTTCAATGAACACCATGAGTTCTGTGAGGCCAAACAGCCTGCTCGGCTGGCCGACAGGGGGGCTGAACCCCATCCATGTGACTCAAAGCTGGCCTTTCCCCGGGGTGCCGCGCCCCTGCACGCGGCATGGTCTGGGGCTTCCTTTCCTCCACATCCTCAGCCTGTTTCCTTCCTCACACCTCAACCCTGCCAGGAGCTAGAGAGCCCATCTAGTTGGGTCACCGATTCCTCCAGAGATGGMGTTTGGAGCAGCAAGGAGACCACCAAGTCCTCGTGGAATCAGGGAGCAGTTTGGAGAAAGGAAATGGGAGCCACCAATGCCTCTGGCCACACCTGCTCCTGCTCTGATCCACTCCAGGGCCKGCCCAGAACTGGTACCAAAGGCCGGCGAAAAGCAGAGGTTCTGTGACCCACTGTGTGCAGCGACAGGAGGAGAGTGAGCAACAGCTACTTTGCCTGTTATCACGGTGAGGAGGCCCCGGAAGGAAAGCTGGCCCAGGCTCCATGGGCTCCATCTCACGGCACCCAACCTGGGCAGGTTCTTTTAATGTGTATGTTCTAAATAATTYAACTGACTAAAGATGGCCAGGAGGAAACTGTGGACAGCGTTCCCAGGAAGCAAAGATAACCTGGCAGAGCCAGGCACCAGCTGCCAGTGACCTGGTCTGAAAATAGGCCCCTGCTCAACCACAGCAAGCAGCGGAGACCCCTCTGGAGACCCAGGTCCAGGAGCACCAGCAGCACCCAGGCAGCCCCTGTCCTTCCAGGGCACCCATCATCTTACTACGTGCTCAGAACTCTTCTACTCAGACTTCCTGTCGGCGCAGATGGACAACGCCGTGCAGGTTTGGACTGACAGGTCCTGAAATTCGCCCGGAACTGCTTTCCCTTGACTTTGCCTTTCCAGGAATTCACAGAGGAACTGGGAGCTGAGCTTGGTAGGAACAGGTTTCATATGGGTTGAAAATGCACTGCTCATGACTAATATTGCTCATCAATTCCTAATCACTAATACAACAGCCACATTCCCAAGTCTTCAGTATGTGCCACGCCAGACCCTGTGACAGGAGCTCACGTGCATTTGTTTATCTGATACTCACAACTCTACAAGCTGAGGGCTGATGTCAGTATAGTCCCCATTTTTCAGATAAGGAGACCGAGGCTCAGAGGAGTTAAGTGATTTTTTTTCCCAAGATCACACAGTTGGTGAGTGGTGGCAGATGTCCTGTTTAAACATGACAGTCCTGCATTCTAAATGGTCTGCAGGGCGCTGTCCTGGTTTTAAAAGGAAAGCCCCAGGTCTGGGAGCCCCTCTCAGTCCCAAGACCCTGGGTGGTGGCAGGAGTCCAGGCACTGGCTCTGCAGCCTTCAGCAACACCTGCTGACAGTCTGAATCACTATGTCTCCTAGGGAGGCACCAGGACTCGGATTTCTCCCCCCAGGACACGTGAAGAACATGGCAGGCACACAGTGGGGGCTAAAGTCACATCCCCAGAGATGGGCTTTAATCTCCCGACTTTCTGATTGCACTTGAGTGCCTGCAAGTTTTCTACCCAAGTCCTCTGGCTCAGGTGACACCTGCAGGGAGGAGGRGGGAATGCCTGCGCCTCCCCCCTCTCAGGCCAGGGTGTAAGGAGGTGACCAACTCATCTATCTTGGTTTAAAACTCCAAGTCCCAAGCCTGGGAAGCCCTGAGACCCAGGCAAATGGGGATCCTGTCTTGCTCAACGCTCAGCATTAGTCCCCACCACGGAGGCCCACTCATTTGACCACGCATGCATTTCCCCCAGGACTTTCAGTGCTATCCATGACAGGTGTGCTGCAAGACGAAAGCCAGGTGTCCCGTGCCATCTCTGCACACTGCCCCCACGACAAGCAGAGCATTCTGGGCATGTCCTGAAAAGAAGCACCAAATTCATACACAGGACTCAGGAAGAGGACCCCAGAGCAACTGGGGCTGGGCCCTCTCCATCTGTGACCTGACAGACTGCCAGCTCCCAGGGGCTTAGAACAACCCTGTGGGGAAAGGAGCTCTGGCTTAGGGGTCTGAAGCTCTGCCCTTAGCTGTGTGACCTCCTGGAAGTCACCTGACCTCCCTGAACCCAGTTTCTCATTTATCTCAGGGGCTGTCACAACAGGCATAACGAGAGCTGCTGTTCGTCATAGGGACGGATAGGGCTGGCCAGCCACTGTGGGGGACAGAGCTCCTTGGGTCCTCCCAGGAGGAACTCAGGGCCGAGAACCTAGCTGTCTCCAGGTGAGCAGCAGCCCCCTCACCTTGCCACATGGAAAACCTCTCCCCCCCAAACACAAGAGATCCTTGGGAATAGGGAAGGCTTCGAGGGCCTTCAGAAGGACAGTAGCACTTTGGTGACCTGAAGGAGTGAAATGGACCCTTCACAGGCTCAGATGACCAGGGCCACTCCCTGTGCTGTAAAAATAACTTCCTGCTTCCAGAAGGCCTGGGCAGCAGGGGACATGAAAGGGCAAGCACTCTGCTGTCACATACGTCGGTGGTGACCATGGTTCTAGGCTCCAAGCCTCACACCCAGGAAATACATAACGAGTGGAACATCTTGGGAAAACTCACTCAGTCACCTTTTTTTTTTTTTTTAGTTGTCAATGGACCTTTGTTTTCTTTTATTTGTTTAAATATGTGATACTGAGAATCGAACCCAGTGCCTCACACATGCTAGGCAAGCGCTCTGCCACTGAGCCACAACCCCAGCCCCCAACTCAGTCACTTTTTAAGTGATCTTTTCTAAAGAGATGACCGTGAGCTAGAAATGCATYCTAAAATAGATTTTTTAAAAAGTGRACTATGAGCATCTTAACCCTATCAGACAAAGTGAGGATGGTCCATGGTGTGAAACCTCTCCACTGGCCTGGCCTCCATTCTTGGTGGCTCACCTAGTGGTTAAGCATGAAAAACCAGAGCCAGACCTCAGGATTTAAGTACAGGCACCATCACTTCATTACTGTGTGGCCTTGGGCAAGTTACACAGCTTTTCTGTGCATCAGCTTAGTCATTTCTAAAATGAGAGTAATGAGTCTCTACTTTGTAGTGTTACACTGGGAATAACCGAATTAATGCAAAAGGTACTGAGGACAGTTCCCAGCTCAGTAAGTACTCAATAAATGCTGGCCATTAATTTTCATTCTTCATTCAATAGAAACTTATTCAATAATTCCATACTATGTTTCAACTTTGCCCTGAAACTCCTCTCCCACTGCAAGAGTCTTGCCCTGAGCATTTATAAACAGGAGCTGGAGCCAGGGGCTGCCCCAGGGGTGCGGTAAGGCAGAGCCAGCAGCCAGGTGCCTGAGACTAAGTCCTGATTCCCTAAGGACTGTGACCCTGCTGGGCCTCCAGGGACCCCAAGCGACTGTCCTTACCTGGCTGTGTGCAGCACAGAGGGCATCTGTAGACTGGGGTCGTGTCTCTGCTGGGCCAGAGCCACTAGATGCTAGGGCCATGACGGCATCCACCCAGCTCACAGCCCCAAGGGAAAGAGGATCCTGCTACCCAGACAGTGGTGTGCGGATGGGACCGGCATCCGGCCACTGACTCCAAGCCAAGCTGCAGTTGGGAACCTCATCACCCCTTCCCTGAACTTTGGAGAAAGAGGGGGCTGGCTCCACTTTTCCTCCCTGGGATCTTCTACTTCCCAGGTGAGAAGAGGTGGCAGGAGATGAGTGAGGCAGGGTGGTCCCTTTCCCGGGGAAGCAGCCCAGCTCCTGGCTTGTCACTGTCATGGTTTAGGCACAGCCTGGGCGCCCTCGCCCACTCCCAAAGCAATGGCATCATGAAACYGCTTGGCGTTGGCTGCCGTGTTCTCCCTCCAGAGCTTTGCAATCCAAGCTCCTGGAAATCTTGGAGCCTGTGAGCCGGTCTTGTGCTCATCTGCACATCATGACACTGGGGTCCAGCAGAGGGGGTTGGGACATGTCTAAGGCCACTCGGGAAATTCGGTTCAGGACCAGACCTCATCCCAGGTCTGATGACCCTAGGTTCTGGGGTGTTCCCCCAACCCCACTGTCACCCATAGAAATCACCAATGCTGAGCATTCTGACAGTCCTGGGCCTGGTGGTGGCACCTGGAATCCTTGGACCCATGGGAGGAATCTGTGGCAGAGGCTGAGCCTCCCCCACCCACAGCCGGCAACTTGGCCAGGGGGCAAGCAAGTCAGCTTTGCATCGGGGTTGGGGCGGGTCCACCCCAGTCTGTGCAAGACAAAGGGGAGAGGCTGTCCAGCATTGTGACTCCTGGGGTCAAAGACAGGCTCCTTGCAGGCCTCTGTCACCAGGTGAAAGGGGTGGCAATTCAGGGAAGGTCTGAAGAGTCATGAATGAGGCAACCTCTGCTGTCACCTTCCAGCCACAACTACCTCTCTGCCCTCCACACAGAACCTGGGTCATGAGTGACCCCAGCTGACTGTAGTTCAGCCTCAGCCCATGCTCAAGCACTCACAAAGTGACCTATTTTGGTTTTCCGGCTTTTAAGGCAAGTGACAAGCTGACTCACAGTAGGAAAGAGCCCTAAGTTTGGGCCAGGATGCTGGTACAACCTGACCCTGCATCTTGGGGATCCACACTGCTCCCCATATAATGGCCAGTTCACAGGGCAAAGGGGATCGCCCAGCTCACACTTCCATTGTAGACCAAATTCTCAGTGCTTGGAGCATGGCATTCTTTGCCCAAATGCCTTGATCCTGCTCCCAAAATGTGTGCAGGCATCTGCAGCTGGCCCCGTGCCTCTGAGGGTGGACTGTGCGGCCTGAGTGCCTCACTTTAGGCCTGAGGAGCAGCATTAGTGAGCAGCGTGTGTTYGTGGCTTTGCAGCCTGCAGTGTGCTTCTGGTGCACAGGGCCCCTGCAGTGCTGGGTAGGCCAGCACGGGAGGTGAGGCTGGTGGCCCAGCTCCCCTTTCCCCAGCAAGAACAAGGCTGACCTCCAAGGAGCCTGTAGAGGCTAAGCGTGAACTCCACCTTGCAGGAAAGGTGTATTTGCCAAAGTAAGGGGACAGAACATGTTCCATTTGCCAGTTAGTGAGCTTAGTTTAGAGCATCTACACGTCTAGACACACTGCTGGTGAGCCTCCATTTGCCTAACTGCTCCACAGACCACGGCATGATTCTGGACTCAAGCTACTTTCTGGATCTGCTAAATCAGGCGAGTGCCTCACTTCCTGTCTCCCAGTTTCCTCATCTATAAAGTCAAGGGCATGGTGAGGTTCTGACTACAATGCCACCACTTGACACACTCCAGAGCCAGCTGTCAGTCAGCCTCTGTGGGCATGGTTCATAGGACATAGAGGGGAGGCCCTGCAGACCCTTTGAATTTTTAGSGGGGAGCCCAGGCTGCTTCTGGGTTGAGTCCTCTTTCAGCCTCCTGCTTCTCAAAAGTCCTTCACCCAAACCAATGAGCCTGGCCCTGCAGTGGACTGGATAGAGCAGGCACCTGCATCCCTGCCTAGCAGCACCAGGGAGGGGTGGCTGTAGCGGGTCAGGAGTTGGGACTAGAGAGAAGTGCACACTGAGCTGAGCCGGTGGAGGGCTAGGTGTGGATCAGACATTGGAGACTCCAACCTGCCTCGAAAAGGTAATCACTGGAGAAATGCCACAGGCAGGCAGGGGCACGGGATGCTGCTCAGGGCCGTATTTAAAGAAGAGACGGTCCCTGYCGTTTGGGGGTGTTGAAGAAAGGGGGCATGGCTTGCCGCACATTGCATTAATATCCTGCAGGAAGAGCTGATACCACCAGGGCCTCCTGACAAATGCCACACTGGGCCTCAGGGATCCTGAAACGGGTCCCAGGAGGCTAAGAAGAACTTCCAGGGAGCCCAAACTCCACCAGCCACCCTGGCTGCTGAGAGAAGGAAGTCTGACTTCTGAAAACCCAGGACTGGTACCCACGGTCACACAGGCTCTTGGCACCAAATTGGGTGAGGAGGCCCCAGTGGAGGGCTGCAGAGACAGCCCCAGAGTGAGCTGTGCAGTTCTGCATTGGTGTGAAGGAAGAATCTGGAGCTGCCAGACGCCAGAGGACGAGCTGTCAGGGAGTCCCCTGAGGCATGTCTGTCTCTTCTAGGTGGGCAAAAGCCCTCAGGGAGGGACAAGGCAGTGTCCACTGAGTGGCCTACTGCTCCACAGCATCCATGGAGCTGGTGCAATGGGAGTCGGGCGGGGCCTCCTGACCCTGGACGTGAGTGGGGCCTCTGGGAGTTGGGCAGGGCCTGAGGCTGCCCAGAAACCTGTCCTCTCCCACAAGGCGGGCTCTGCTCCTGAGCCCTGAAGGGCCTGGGGTGATAGGTACAGGAGCTCCTCGGGGTCCCCCAGAGGGGAGTGGGGAGAGGAGGGCCCTTCCCTAAGATCTCCCCAGGCATGCTCCCACAGTGTCTGGCTTGGAGTAAGAGAGAGAGATCTGTTGCTGGCCCCTGGCCCCTAAATGGGCTGAAAGGGAGACACTGCCACCGCCCCCCCCACCCCCACCCCCACCGCCCCCACCCCYGCTTCTAGAAGTCGAACAGGAACTAGTCTAAATAGGAACTGATTCTTTTCCCAGTTCCATCTCTTCTCTGCCGTGAGACTCATGGTGAGAGGGCCCTCTCTAGGGCTTGTTCAAGTCCTGGAGTTAAACAACTTGCACCTTCTAAGAGCAGTCCTGGCCTGAGCCCCAGGGATGCACCTTCTAAAGGGGAGGGTGAAGGGAAGGGGACAGGTCTGCGAGTGTGGCTGCAGCATGTTCCTCCCACACACTGAGCCGGGCACAGGCAGCGAGAGCTGCCGCAGGTGCATTTTGCATGTAATTCTGTGGGGAAGGCTCTGTGGTGAGAAGATTGTTCTAGCATGTAATCAGGAGTGGCTGTTCTTGGGAGCAACAATGGACACATATCTCCACGCCTTTAGATGTGCAGGCCTGGTGAGATTCAAGGACGGCGCATTACTGCTCATGGTTGAAAAGCTTAGCAAGGAACCCTTGTTCAGACTGACACCTCTGGTCTGCTAGGTGCTGGGCAGGAACATGTGCCTCCTGGGGACTGAGCTCCCTGACAGACTGAGCTCTGCTCACAGCAGGAGGGCCCTAGCTTCTCTCACCAGGGCTCTCTGCCTGCCTCACCTCCAGCACCTATTGGGATACCAGAGCCCTCACCTAGGGTCACAGGCAACAGAGGGGGAGCCTGCTTTCCATGGACATAAACAGCAGCATTYGAAGAGACACACCAGCACTTTCCCTCTTTGCTTTCCTAATCTCATGAGGAAAGCCAGGTGAGCACAGGACAGCTCAGCTTACAGTTCCTTCCTCTCCCTGGGGGGGGGGGTCCTGGGGATGGCAGAGGTTCTCAGCAGTACTTGGGCTTGCTGCCTCCCTCTGCCCTCCTGAGAAACAGCAACCAGATGGGGATGGAAGCAGGTGGGCAGGCTGTCTTAGGAGTCTCCAGGCTCCGAGGCCAGGTGACACTGGACAGAGCTTTCTGGAGGGTGAGCACAATTCCGTCCCCTCAGAGCAACAGGGAAAGGCACAGCCTGGTTCCATCTGGGCAAGGACTCTCTCTCTCTCTCTCTCTCTCTCACACACACACACACACACACACACACACACACAGAGGATCAGGACACAGGCAGTGCCAGACACTGGAGAGAGGAAAGGCCCAGAGGAGCAGCCCTGCTCAGTTTGAAGAGCCTCAAGGGCTTCCTAAGGCTCTGGCCACCCTCTCAGGGTGAGAGTCAAACCTTAAACAGTGAAACAGAGCCCACTGCCTTCCCATGTCACTTACACTGACAGCTATAAACACAGTCAAGGACAAGGAAGCCCAAGTTAGTTCTGACTGATTTTGCTTCAGAAAGTGGCCTGTCCAATATCACCCATGTTTTTGGTGGCCCTGATCTGTGGAGTTTAGGCACCTGCTAAGTCCCCTGGACGGCCCCTCCCGACCCTGGCTTTCTGAGGAGGAAATGGAGCTTGGTGGAAGAGTTGTTCCCCCACGATCCACACTGGACACCCAGACCCCCACTTCCACAGACTTCTCGCCCAGTTCCCGGAGCACCGGCTCGGGCGCCTCACCTGGGATGGATGTCCACCAGCAGCACGAGCGTCTGCATGGTGATCACGTCGATGCGCTTGCAGTGGAAGCGGGCCACCTTGAGCACCTTGAGGTACGTGAAGCAGAGCACAACGAAGGACAGCAGGAAGCTGAGCGCGTGGAAGGCGCCGGTGAAGACCGCGAAGCGCAGGCGCTCCTCTGGCCGCCGGCTGCACARCGTGCAGGACGCGTACAGCTGGTGGAAGCCCAGCCAGGACTGGGCGAGCGCCGCCGCAGGGAAGGTGAGCGCGTGCAGCCACGTGTAGGCCACCATGAGCGCAGCGTCGCGGAGGCGCATCTTAGCGCGGTAGCTCAGCGGGAAGACCACAGCCACCCAGCGGTCGATGCTGAGCGCGGCCATGCTGAGCATGGAGTTGGAGGCCAGGAAGGTGTCGAGGAAGGCGGCCAGGCGGCACAGGCGGTCGCCGGCCGGCTGCCGCTGCGCCACGACGCCGGCCAGCGTGAGCGGCATGTTGAGCACGGTGCACAGCAGGTTGCCGCACGTGAGGTTGAGGGTGAAGAGCGCCGGCGCCTGGCGGCGGATGTCGGCGCTGTGCAGGAGGCAGAGCAGCACCAGCGCGTTGGACAGCAGCGAGACGCCCATCGTGCCCACCAGCAGCCCCGCCAGGCCCGCGTCCCACGAGTTCATGGTGCGCGCCCGCCGCCCGCGCTCAGGGTCCGCAACCCGGCGCTGCCATGGCGCAGCCCGCGGCCGCCTCAGCCCCTCGGCGCCGCCGCCGCCGCCCCGCGACCCCCGGCCCCAGCCGCCATGGCTCCCTGGAGGAAGCGCGGCCGCCCCGAGCCCCGCGCCACCCCCTGGGCAGACACCTGGACGCGCAGCCACCCCGGAGCCCGCGCCACCTCCTGGGTTGGCAGCTGGGCGCTCAGCTCACCCCCGGACCCCGCTCGGCCTCGGTCAAGCGCGCGGTGCCGTGCGCTGCTGAACCTGGAGCCTTTAACGCCCTGGGATCCTTGAAGACCGGCGCTCCCAGCTCTGCCTCTGCTCTGCTCTCTCGGCTCGCTCCTGCCCTCGCTCCGTCCCTCTCCGTCTCCTCGCTCTGCACACCCTCTGCTCTCTTGCTGTCTCTGCCTCCCTCTCTCCGCTAGCTCCTTCTCGCCTGCTCTCCCCCTCTGCTCTCCCCTCCACCCCCTCCTCCTCTCCCTCTCCCTCTTTCTCCCTCTGCTGTCTCTCCGTCTGTCTCTCCCACCCCCAATTTTCTCCTCCCCTCTTGTTCTCTCCCCTCCCCCTTCTCTCCCTAGAATCTGACTGCTTCTGTCATGGAAATCCCCACTGATACACACGCGCACACACACTCTCTCTCACTCGCTGACACTGACACACTTGGAGGGAATGAGCCCTGAGGCTCCTGTGCAGGGTGACCGCTCCCCTTGGCTCTCCCTCCCCTTCCCCTGCCTTCCTCTTCTGTGTGTCAGAAAGGCTGAATGAAGAAAGGCTTTCAGGGAAGGGAGGGATGCCTGCGCCTTCACACCTTGGTACCACCTGTCCCCCCACAGTGCTAGCCTAGAAGAAGGGGTACAGCCCTAGCCCACCTGTCCCACTGCTGAGCTGCCCAGGGATTGTGCTCCTCCCTCTGTGGGTTGAACTGGAAAACTCGGGTAGGCTTCTTTTGCTGAGAGGAGAAGGAGCCCACATCTCTCTCTTGAATGGCCAGGGGCCCAGGCATCTCCTGACACCTCCTCAGTCTGTCACCAGGGCAGCTGCTGCACTGTTGGGCATTTAGTTTCTGGTGGCTTCTTGTCATTGCCTGTCAATCAGAGATTTAGCAGCATTCTCAGATCAGCTGAGGGGACAGTGAGGCTCACTATGACATCCCTTTGGCACCACCTTAGCCAGGAGAGGACAATAGCTGACCCCGAGTGCTCCCACCTGGGAAGCCTGCATGTCCGAGGTAGGCCTGACACACAGCATCTTCGCCCTGAGTTCCAGCTGCTGCCTTCTGTCAGCCCTGAAGACTGCATACCTGTCTACTTTGAGTCTGCTGAAGCAGCAAGTTCAAGTTTATGAGGGACCTGATGACACAATGTACCAGAACTCTTCAGGAAATGGAGAGGATGGTGGCTGACATCCACAGTAACTAGGTACATATACAGTCTCAACCTCCCCTCAGAAAAGGGTGCCATGACCATGACCCTCCTGCTCCTGGACCAGACTCTGGGCAAGATGAGTGATGGAAAGATAGGTGGCAGCTCTCGGCCTCCACAGTTAGCCTTCCTCTCCACAAGATACTCCCTACTCCTGTGTCCACCTGCACCCCATTAGCAACCTCTGTCCTGAGCACAGACAATCCTATCCTGAAGCCTCCTGGCAGGGCCTGTGGTGGCTGGATGGGACATTTTCCCATCACTGTTGAGTCGACCCTGAAGGCAGAGGTCTCATCAGACTCACCTCCCCTCATCTAGCATCAAGCACAGTGCAGATGCTCATGAAATGAGACAGCAGGGGGGTAGGGAAATCAGTGRCTTCTCCCCTCCGCACTGCCACAGAGGGCACTCCTCAGCAGTCTGTGTGTGAAAGGCAACTGTATACAGCAGAGAGCTGGAGCCCAGCTCCTACCAATTGTCAGCATCCCTCTCCAGCCCCCTTCAAAGACAGGACATTGGTGGCTTGAAATCTGCCATGCTGGGAGCACTTGCACCATAGAAATTAGCAAATTGCACAAATCAGGCCTCACCACCCTCCAAGCCTGCGTTAAACATTTACCAGCACATCACTCACAGATTCCATGGGACCCTGGGCCAGTCACTTAACCTCCAGAGCCTCAGTTTCCGTAAGTACCTTTTAGAGCTGTGGTGAGCAGTATACAAGATTGTGTGTGTGTGTGTGTGTGTGTGTGTGTGTGTGTGTGTGCAACTTTTCTTTCCAGAGAAGAAAACAGAAGAATTCCAGGAATCTTCCCTGTCTCTTGGTCCCCTCCTGTCCTATGGAGTTCAGGGCTGGCCATGTGTCTTCAACAGACATTTAGAATATGGTGTCAGAGTGAGGTATACATCTGAGTGTCTCCCCTGCTTCCAAAGACTGTTCCTCCCCAGAATAGCTCCTGAAATAAGATAGGTGCTCTAGCACTGTTAATGGAGGAAACAAATCAACCAATATATTTGAGGGACACTGTCTCCATCCTTGATCCTCACATTTTAGCGTTTGGCAGAATTAACTAGTAAACCTGGGTGTTGGTTAAAGATTTAGATTCCTTGGTCACACCCAGCATTTCCCAATCAGAGGGTCTGGGATTCTGCACTCTTCATGAGCTCCTCGGGTGATTCTGAGGGTGGTCCATGGCCACACTGGAGGACCATGCTGTATGAGAAGTGGCCAGGACAGGCAGCTGGATGCCTGAATGCAAAGTGTTAAGTAAAATCCTCATAGAATGTTAGAATTTACAGAACATGTCCAAACAGGATCACACTGTAATCCTGCAACAGTGACAGGGAAAAGAGCTTATCACTGTCCACATCACAGAGGTAAGGGCACTGAAGCCAAAGAGCTTAAGTGACAGAGTTGGCAAGGTATGAAGCCTGCACCCTAGCTCCACAGACTGGCTCCTTCTGTATATTCCAGAGGTCTCTGGATGTCTCTGGGTATATAAGTTAAAAAAAACACAAAACTCAACTTTGAAATATCAAAATAATGACCACCAACAACAGAAGCCAGTGAACACTG